GTCCCAATTAATCTTAGCCTAGAGGGCCCCAACAGACTCTAGAATCGCCACTGATCAGAGTCGACACCTCTAGGGCGGAGGACGAGATGGAAGTGAGAGTGAAGCCCAAAGAGGGGGTTCACTTTGTCACTCAATGATGCCCAGAGAGTCCAATTATTGACTCCGCTGTGGTAGATGATAAAATGAGAGTTAGTAGTGGACGTCCTTTTGGTTTACCTACTGTGTAACTAACCAAATGATCAACAAAGAAATTAGTTTGACTTTTTCTGCTGCAGATCCTCAATGTAAAAAGAGTCTTTGATGGCCTTTAAATGTTCTCTCATTTAGGAATGTTAGCTTCTGTTTCTGCCTCTGTTTCTACCTCTAAAGCCGACACAGTGGTGGGATCACTTAGTCCCCCCATTACGCTTTGAATCCGCTGTCTTGTTAGGCCAAAATTCTGGCACAAGTTCTGCCTGAGCTTCCTATTTTTCGGAGAAGAAACATGAGTATCAAAAAGGTCTCTGCAAGCTGTCACAAGAGAACCAACTTATAAATGTTTAGAACAAGAAAAGCTTTTACCACAGCCTCACTACATATTTCTTTATGTTTAACATAATATGATGAAAGAGGCTTTATGGAAGATGCATCCACTTGTTTAAATGGATGTCTTTAAGAACAAAGGAGGACATGGTGCATCCTCAAAAAGGACCACTTTAAATCACTTCAGTGTGCAGACTGGATGTATTTTAGCAGCAGGGTAATGGACCCTAATGGTCCGCTCAGTCACTAACTTTCTGTCACATTTGTGCAGATCTGATGGCACTCAGAGTAAATGACAAACTGAGTGCCTGAGAGGCCGAGAGGACTCCGCTGTGCCGGATCAGTCAGAGAATCAGCAAAAGTCACACACATACTCCAAGCAATGAGAGGCGTGTGACAAAATCAGCCCATCAGCCGTCCAAAATCACACACACAGGATTCATTCAGCGCAAATTAACCACGGCTGTCAAATCCAAAAAATCCAATCGTTTCAATCCGAGATGAAGACGGCTTCACCTTGAGGACCCTGCTGGAGGAATAGAGTCTTTGGAAGGCCATTGTCGGGCTGTCACGACTCAGCCTCACCACCCGTCTGACCCTCACCCTGCGGGATGAACTCATCACAGGCGGATGTGAGGGTGGGGTGATGAAGGGCTGTGACACACAAGAGACTGAACGCACGGCAGAAAATGTGACTCGGTCTACACAATGACAAGTCAATCTTCTGCCCGTTTGTGAACGCCTGACTGCTCTTGACATGTGCCCTTTATGTATATATTTGATACATATTTTAATATAATGATGAATATTTCAACTGTTAGAAAAAAAAATTGCAGTGTGCTATATGAACGACTGCGAGAGACAAAGAGTATTTTGTTAAAGTTTCAGACTTTTTGAAGCATAAAACTATTTATAAAGAGATATCAGAGGGCTGTGATTGGTTAAACACAATGTTGGTTCAGAGACAGTTAGGCTCGGTATAATCATACTTTGCAAAAAAAAAAAAAAAAAAGCGACATAACCGTTTAGAGAATAAAGAGCAGGGACTCTGCAATGACTCTCACAGTGTTTGATTGGCAGGTGATCGCTGGGAAACGCAGCAAACAAATACTTTCAACAATTGAAGGAGGAAAACGAGGACCTGATGGATGACCGTGTTCATAATTAGGTGACACTATAATTATATTAGACGCGTCACTCAACTTAACAGAAGATAATGTGGCTTAATTTTAGAGCAGCTGTGACATCGCCTGGAAAACCAACGTTGGTGACGACTCTGAAATATTTTTAATGGACACATTTTTATTAACTTCCATTTTTTGGACTGCTCATATCTCTAACCAGAGTCGATCCAACCAAAGCTTTCTGCATGGTTAGAAAAAACAAGAAGAACTGGACTTTTTTTTTTTGCAGTGTGCAGGGCGGTGGCGGGGTTAGCAGAGGTTTCTGACTCCTTTAGGACGGGGGTGAAGAACATTACCCCTGACCTCCCTGAGGCCTGGCCTTGTCACAGGCTTGTCCCTCACCCAGGACCCCTGACTCTAAAGAGGGTGACCTCTCAGTTCACCTCCCTCAAGGCCAACAGCGGCCACATGGTGACCCGCTAACTGGATTTTTAAAAAGAGGGAGGGAGGGAGGGAGAGGGAGGGGACGGCATGTCATGCCATCTTGATAAAGACATTAAAAGGAACGTCTCAATAACTGCCACATCAAATCTTAACATCTCCATTTAAAAAAAAAAAAGACTGATTCATAGTTTAAAGACAAATAAAGAGTCGGAAAATGATGCACCGCCTTTTGGATTGCAGAACTGATTCCATCCACACAACACAAATAGAACTTCTCCCATAGGTTGGACACTTAAATAATCCTAATGAGTGCATATACTTTCAGCCTGGGTGGCCTCAGAGGGAAATCGTTTGGTGCCAAGCTGGACCCGCTGAGCTTTACAGAGCGGAAAATGTACAGGAATTTGTCTTGTTGGCTTGATGACAACTCATAGTGTCACCGCTCACACTGACACAGCACAGTACAAGGCCGCCAGGACCTCACATACGCTGTAAAGGGCTTACTATGGATAGTCAGCTATACATGTCTCGCTATAATTATACATTTAACATCCCGTAGGAGCCTGTTTTTAAAGCTGGGGAGGGTGCAAAATGTCTCCTTCTGCAGAGGGATTCAAAGTTGGAGATAAAGCCATTGCACATGCTCAGTCTACCGTGAGATATTCCACTGATTAGGTTGTGTTTAATATCTTTATACCGCCTCAGTCATCGCAAAAACATCTCTATTATGTTTTATAAATTCCCCTTGATGAGTCGTTAAGGACGATTTTCATGAAAAAAAAAAAAACATAACCGCAAAGAAACTTCCATGCATGCTAAACTCGCTAAAAGTTGCTGTATGGGGACCACTCCAGTCCAAGTGGGGGCGTCCTGAGAGCTGGTGACAGGTGTGAGAATCTGTGTGTGTGTGTGTGTGTGTGTGTGTGTGTGTGTGTATGAGTGGGGACAGAGGGAGGGAGACAACTGCTGTTGGTCTGCTGGGAGCAGATGTTGGAGATCTCTGTAAACTGTTAATAGCTGCAGGATCTCATTACATTTAACTCTTTAAATGCCGAGGCTCCGCTGGGGGGAGAGGCCGTCTCTCTCTGCCAGCCTGACACATGTTTGCTCTGCTGAAGATTACAAGGTGCAAGTTTGAGTGCATCAGACACAATTTAAACGACCACTTTGCCCGGTCTGCTTGTTGTTTTTAAAGATTCTGTAAAATGTGTGCAATAGAGCATTCAATTCATGTGATGATGCAACTTATTAAAGAATAAAACATTCAAGCATTCATCAAACTGATGAATTGTTGCATCACTTGGTCAGGTATTGCTTGTAACTAGTAGCCGCTTTTATTATCTAATGCAAACTTCCACAAAATGTCTCTCCTTATTGGTAATAACTGCACAAGTTACTTCTTACTGTATGTTTTTAATTTTAGATCGTTTATGTCCCGATCAGACAACATGGAGTGAGAGGATGTGGGTACAAGACACGATGCTTAGACGTCAAAACTACGGGGAAGATCATACATTTGGAAATCAGCGAAAGTGCAACAACGGCCGCACTAAAAAAATCAGAAAGCTTGGATAATGACTGCACATTTTCTCCGGGCAGCCGTCTGCTGATGCAAACGCTCTCTCCTCATTGAAAACAATTGAAAAAAAGACGCTGGTGCACAGAAAAATAACGCTAGGTGGACATGGAGCCTTAGTTTCCCGAGGTGGATTTCACTCACACAAAACCATGTGATCTGCAGAGTCCCTCTGCACCTTTAAGAAAAAGCTAAAGACCCAGCTCTTTCATGAATACCTACTAACTTAATGATGATGGTCTCCACATTATTGATGATGATGATGGTAATGACGATGGTTTTGTTTGATAACGACGACTTATAAGATGGTTTCTATACTGATTAGAGCTCTCAAGAACTGCCCTCAATGTTGTGCTTTGCCTCTGGTCACTTCCTGTCAGCACCTGTGTGTCCAATCAGACTCAAAGCTGATCGTTTGCTCTTACTGACATTGTTCCCTTTTTTCTAGATCCTTGCTTGTGTTGTTCTTACTCTCTGATGTACGTCACTTTGGATAAAAGAGTCTGCTAAGAGAATTGTAGAAAAGTTCACTGTCAAAAAACTGTCTTTTGAAAATGGGAAGAAGACACATAAGACACAGGATGGCATCATTTGAGAAGAATGTACATCCCTGGGCGAAACTTTGAAAATATATGTCATTAAGTTTGAGTTTATTTTGACTGAAGTGCACTTTTGGACTGTTTGAATTCCGATGCTCTTACCACACCGACCGTCTTTTTAATCCTACAGCTCAGGGCCATTAAAAGACACAGAAAAGTAAAGCCAGCCCTGTTACTTTAAGCAGTGCCATTCCACATGAGAGCTCAGTGTTTAGAGTGAATCTGATGACAAAACTGAGCACAACAGCTGTTTGCTGCACTGCATTAATGTCAGCGCCGAGCTAGCACGCGAGCACGCATGTATTCTGTGTACCCCTCGGTTTTCAGCACGGCAGTTTGACCCTCTGAATTTATTTCGGTCGGCTTAACCGGGGAGCGCTGAGAGCTTTCCCCGAGTCCTGCTGAGGGGCGTCAAACTCGGCCGATGTGGATTCTGACCTTTATTCACCGTGAGAAGATTCAGTGAGCATGAGCGCTCTTTCAGCACTTTGTTTCACACTTTTCCAGTTATAGATATCCACAGTGGGTGGGGGGAGCGACTGACGGACACACGGCAGCTCCGAGGGGGGGCGAGGAGGGGGATTAAGATGCCTCGCTAAAAAGATGCTTTAACAGGAGGTCAGAGTAAACAGAGCATCCTCAAACCGAGGGGCCGCGTGTGACGATTTCAGCCTTTAAATCACGTCTCTGCTCCGGCGACCTTTAGGTGTTAACAGGTTTCGCGTTCTCTCTCACCTTGATGCCCCCCATCCTCTGCTCTCCCTTGAACTCTTTGCCGTTCTTCAGCCAGTGGATGGTCGGCATCGGGTTCCCGGAGGCGGCGCAGCGGAACTTGACCGTGTTGGCGGCTGGGACGGCCAGGAGCTTCTTGTCCATTCGCTCGGGCCTCGTCCAATACGGAGCTTCTGTTGGTGAAACACAAAAACAGGTTGTTGCGTCAGTCATTGAAAAACTCAAATTAAAGTTTTTTTTTGTTTTTTTTTGTCCTGACCTTGTCTGTTTGTTTTTTGTGCCTCATTTGTTATTTATATGTCACCAGTTTGTCACTCTATTGCGCCTAATAAAAAAATTCATTATATGTCACAAGCCAAAGAAATAAATTAAAATTAAAATTAAATAAAATTAAAGTATTAAATGTTTACATTACAGATAAGGTGAGTCATCCAAGACAAGTCCCAGTGGATTTACATTTCCCAATAAGAAACCTGCAACCTTTCAACACTCAAATCTGACTTTCTATGCAAACGATCACTGCTATTCTATCCTAAAAGAGACATCCTTGGTTTTCCATTTTCTGCTGTATTCTTGGGTCATAGAGATTTTTGGGGAATGACCCTCCAGGAATTAATTGTACCATGTTTTTAAAATTGCTTTAATGTGGCACAGACAGGAAAACTTGATCTCCTGCCCTGTTTTCAAATTGATCCATCTTGGACGAGTTACTTATACTTTACCAGAGCAGATGTTGAGGTTTGCCCTTTTCTCTCTCCGTTCTGATAAACAAAGCACACTACCTGCGACCCCCCCTGGAGCCCACCCTCCTGCCTCTGGAGATACAGTTAAGTTCAAGATGTGCAAACAGTGTAAAACACAGTTTGACGGTCTTACAAAAGAACATAAACGGGTCGTGTGAAGCGTCGCGAGGAGCCAGACAATGCTCATCATCTTCCTCCCTCTGACTACAATGCGGGAGTTCATTTGAATCGTCCGATTCCTGAGAGTTTGGAAAACCTGTCGGAGCGATTTATTGAGTTGTATTGAGAAGACGGGCGGACAAAGAGAGTGTAGCGAGTCAGAGAGGACTATTGTTGCTGCGGTGTGGGTGTGGAGGGAGAGAGCACTGAGGCATGGCTCACTCTCTCTCTCTTTGTAGGTCTGTGTGTGTGTGTGTGTGTGTGTGTGTGTGTGTGTGTGTGTCTCCCAGGACAAAAGCTAGGGGAGGTGGCTGACCGGTCATCAGATGTCTCTTTTACTTTTTCGAATCAGGAGGAGAGAGAGGAGCTAATTACCATCTCAATGTCTGCGCTTGTGTGTGTCTGTCCGTGTGCGTTCTATCAGATTTAAGTCGTAAAGGAGCAGAGGGACGTCCACACCAAGAACAATATCTAAGGCCATAACTAAAAAGATATTGTGAGCATCCAAACTGACGACCATAGACGATGGCGCCGAGCAGGCCGTGCTCTCACCAGATGTGTTAAAAAATGGATCCTGCTCACATGTAACTGCGGTTAGTTTTTGCAGGAAATGCAAAACAAAAATCGATGCGAGTCAAACACTCTTTAACGAGAGAGATTCTTTCTTTTGAAGAGTTGGGTCGTCATCAGTTTTATAGATAGATAGACTTTATTTTCTGTCCCAACAGAGACAGAAATTCTCCTTTGACAAGGCTCGAACAATAAACACAACTTCTTAAAAACAGAAAGTGCAGTACATTAAAAGAGGACTTAAAAACACCAGTTTCTAAAACGGGACTTTGTAGTGTCTGTCGGATGGCAGTAACTGGAAGGAGTGGTGGAGGGGGTGAGAGGGGTCAGGGTGGCTCTCCTGATCACAGAGCGATTATACAGTTTGGAGAGGGAAGTTTGTGTTGAACCGATAATTTTTCTGGCCTGATTAATGATGCGGGAGATGGTCTCCTGGATTCTCAAAGAGAGAAGGACAAAAGCTTCGACTTGTTTTAAGAAGTGGATGCAGCCCCTAAGACGTTCGCAAATTCAGCATGTGGATCATCGTCAGCTCGGTTTGTTGGATGCAGAAGTGTCCATATTTGGATTGAAGCGTCCATATGCATTAGTGACTTTCAGCTCACAGGGGGAAAAGGCCTTCAAGCACACTCTGCTTTAATCGTTTATTTCTAAAGGAGGCAATTATTTATAAATAATTCCTAATAAAATCTATTATTTCAGATGTATTCTAAGAGGCGTTCAGTGTTTCTGTTCATCAAACAGCTGACAGAGATTCAAAGAGATGTGTTGTTAGCGTTGTGTTTTAGAATGAATCATTTCAACTTCTCATTAGAGTTCACTGTCTGGTCAGTACTTTTAAAAGTTAATCTCCCCCTCGGGCATCATCAGGGAGGGGTTTTATCTCGGTTCATGTCAGAGAGCGAGGTGTAGCTGTCAAAGCGTCACCTGAGTGAGACTGTCTCTGATCCACCCCTTCCTCCCCTCTGTGTTTGGTAAACCGCCTGGGCGCTCCTGATATATTCCTGACACATATTTTTTTGGCTCCCGACTTCAAACTTTGGCTTCGTCTCCGCTGAGTAATTACAGCCAGACTGGAGAGCAGCGGCGATGAGAGACACATGTATCTTCATCGAAAGAAAGAGACAAAACAGAATGTTTTCTTCACGCCATTGTGCGGACGATGTGACGATCTGCGTTTGTTTGTGTGTGTGTGTGTGTGTGTGTGTGTGTGTGTGTGTGTGTGTGTGTGTGTGTGTGTGTGTGTGTAATGTAGCGGCTGAAAACTGCTCCCTGCTTCAGTTAGAGACTCCCCCGGCTCGCCGACACAAACGTAACCACACACACACAAACACCTACACACACACACACACACACAAACACCTACACACACACACACACACACACACACAAACACCTACACACACACACACACACACACAAACACCTACACACCTACACACACACAAACACCTACACACACACACACACACACACACAAACGGCCTCCACCTTAAAAGGGAAATCTCTGTTAGATTTCATTACTTCTCCCTCCCTGTGTCTCCTCCTGTCTGGGAGTATTTGGAGCGACACTCTGCACAGCGTGGGACAACTCTCCAAGGAGTCTGAACACATTGTTTTCTTGGCATCATAATCAGCCACACACACACACACACACACACACACACACACACACTCGGTCAAAGAAGAGAAACACACCCTGAGTTTTAAACAGTCCTGATGTGTGGTCCTCCTCCTCCTCCTCCTCCTCCCTCCTCCTCTTTGTGCTGCTGCTCCTGAACTCATCTGGGTCTGAAAACACCTCCTCACTGCTGCTGCTCATCGTCTGCCACAATGACGTTTTTTTTAACCCAAAAATAGACGCCTGTGTGTGTGTGTGTGTGTGTGTGTGGATTCAGCATTAACTCGCCTACTCGTCTCGTCTCGTCTCCATGGTTTTTGTCCCAGAAACACACTGAGATTTAGTTTATGTCGCTGACCTTTAGCTGCTAAAAAGGCTAACTGCTGCGTATCTGCACGAGACCACCTGTCAATCAAACTGAGTGGGGCGGTGCTATGACGTCTTCTTTTTTTCTGGCTATGAACTCTCTAAGAGACGATGCTGCTCATGCTAACTCTGCTGTTACACATCACACACATCACCAAGTAGCAAAAGGTGAGCAGAGATACTCTACACTGATGATTTGTAAATATAGAGTCATTTATTTCCTGAGTAAAATAGGGGCGACGTAGGCTTAGCGATTAGTTGGAGCCCCATGAATGGAGGCTGTAGTCCTAGAAGCAGGCGGCCCGGGTTCGAGTCCGACTTGTGGCTCCTTTCCTGCATGTCATTCCCCACTCTCTCTCCCTCCCTCTCTCCCTGATTTACGACTCTATCCACTGTCCTGTCTGTTGAATAAAGACATAAAAAAGCCCCCAAAATCATTTTTAAAGGCTTTATATGCGCTGCATACAACTGGCGCTGCATTGTTGTGTTAGCATGCTAATGCTAGTGATCTTTATTATGCTGGTATCTTCACACTGCATGTAAATTTAGCTGAAATGAGCGTGATCTAGAAACACAGTTAAGCAGTGAGTACAGTATGTTATTCTTCTTTTCTCTAGTCCCTCAATTAAACAACTTTTATACACGAGGGGAGGAGTCAGCCGGCCGTCCTGGCGATGTAAACAAACTGAAGATAGGACTCTGAAAACTCTGAAAACATCACAGACAGTGGGACTCGGGTGTTACACCCATTGTAGACAGTCATGACTCACAGAGTTATTTTCAGAGGATATACTTGATTTCTATTATATTGAAGTGTGAAAAATCAGAATATATTTAAATAGTAAAATAAAAGCTTTTTTTCAGCAAAAGGAATCACTGCAGCTTCTTTCAGTTCACACACAGAGGTTGATGTCTGGATGTCCGTTTGTTTTTTGATTTACAGCACCGTCCTGCTCCGTTCGCTCAGCAACACACAGGAATCCCATCCCGTGTCTAATTGGCTGGATGGTATTTCCTCAGTGGAGGGGAGTGGGATTTTCTTGGCAGTGAAGGGGGACCGCAGCAGATACCCTTCAAACCCCACAGGGACAAGGGGAGAGGGGGGGGGGAGGGGAGGGGGAGGGGGGGGGGGGGGTGTTCTGTAGATAACCCTCCCTCTTTTCCCTGCGCTGATATGCAGTCACTGTAGTGGAAAGTGGTTTAGCGTAACATGTTCTCTCAGCTCAGCAGCTTCAGTGTCATGTCCACCTGTCAAGCTGCAGGGGTTAACCGAGGGGGGGGCCTAAAAATACACGACTGTATCTGTTTGTTTGGTTTTAAAGTCGGATAACAGGCTCAATAACAGATATTACCAAACACAGGCATTCACGTTCAGTAGTTGTGTTTACTGCAGGGAGTCAACAAAGCTCAGTGTGTTTATTGAAGGTTTTAAGGAGAGATGAAGAGCTGCACACTTTCCACAACACGCTGCTTCATTTCCTTCTTTTTTTATGTGAAATAAAACACGTGCATCAGACTTTTTCTTCCACAGCTGACCTGGAATTTTTTAAGTTGCTCTGGTTGCTTGTTGCTGGTATCCCCGAAGTTGTAAGAAATCTCAGTGAGATGGTGGAAAAGAAAAGGCCACGAGCCAACAGAAGAATCCCTCTTTTGGTTTCGGATCCAGGACATTTTCTAATGATTATTTTTCTTGTAAGATTATTCCTTCAGATTT